ATGTACGACCTGTTCTCGACCATCAGATTTTCCTATGTAGTAACATTTCATTTACATCCAAAAGATGGTACTCCCATTTTCGATCCTGTAGTCTATCGTCAACTCGTGGGTCGTCTTTTATATCTCATTGTAACATGACATGATATTCAATATGTTGTAAATACTCTAAGTCAATTCATGCAATCTCCATATTCTTCCCATCTTGATGCTGTCAAAGATAGCGTTGGAAAAGGTTTATTCTTTTCTGCATCTAGTTCTCTTACTTTAGTCGGATATGCTGACTCTAATTGGGCGGCTGTCTTACGACTCGTTGCTCCACTACTGGTTACTTCACCATGTTAGGTTCTAGTCCTATTTCTTGGAAAATCAAGAAACAACCAACGGTTTCTCGTTCTTCCACTGAAGCAAAATATCGTTTTCTTGCAGCACTTACTTTCAAGTTGCAATGGTTAAAATATCTTATCTCGAATCTTTGTATTAATCATCCTCGAACAATTCCAGCTCATTGAAATAGCCAAGCCGCTATTCACCTTGCCAAGAATCCCGTATTCCAGAACGCACTAAACATATTGAAATTGATTGTTGTTTTGTTCGAGAAAAGATTCAAGCGGGTCTTCTTACTCCTTCCTACTTACAATCTAATATTTTTACCAAACCACTTGGAGGTGATGCTTATCGTCGACTACTTCACAAGTTGGATGCTCTTGACATTTCAATCCTATCTCCAACTCGAGAGGGGTAGTAGAGAAGATAAAATCTTGTAAATTTTAATATTTTAGATTTTAAATTAGAGTTATTAGTTTTATCTATATCTTGTAAATTTCAATTGTTTAGATTTTAGAGTTATTGTCCATCTTTGTGTATATCTGAATCTTGTGAATTGGCCTATAATACAAGGTAATTGAATGAAATGTACATACAGTTCACAAAAAACATTTTCTTCTTCTCATTTTCGTGTTAACCATTTTCACACCAGATCATTAGATTAGAAGCATGATCCATGATTTTAAGGCCAATTTATTGCCCTAGTGTTTGAGAGGATTACAAAACTTTGTCCTAAAGATTTGGGTCCGGCATTAGGGTTGATTGTGTGAGACACGGGTCCAAAATCTGAGCCCTAAAATTGTGTACATCTTGGTGCTGATTACTACTATAAGTGCTATAATGATATGTAGAATTGTTGTGTACTTTATTCTTTACTATACATGATAATTTTATATTAGCGATATCAGAACTTTAGGTAAAACACTTTGGGAAGAAGAACCATCGGTTTAGGGTATAGCAAAGGATCTCGCACAATCCTTAGGGCTCTGAAAGATTTTGAAGATTTGGTGTTGGATCGGTGAAGTTTTTAGTGTTCCTTCGTTTGGATTTGAATACACATGTTAAATTTATGCTAGATCTAACACTTCTCTGGAGGACTTACTCTAGCTTGACACAATTTGTAACATTCCAAAATTGTACTATGTATTTTTTTTCGATTGTACTACATGTACATCACCACTTATAGATTGGTTTATATACACATGATGTAATGATATTTGATTGTGTCACAATTTTTTCAGCAAAAAAAATAAAAATAAAAATTCCACTTTTTTCTTGACACCTCAACTATTTGTAAAACTTTCTGCAACTCTTTATGTACAAGTAGAATTGTTAATTTTTGTTTATGGTAGTTGACATGTAATTCGAATTATTTGAAGGTTTTCTATGCATGATTACTTTAGTTAGAACAAAATAGATTAGTAATTTTCTTTGTGATAATATCGAAATCATATATTTACTTATTAAAATGATGTCTCAGAAAATATAAAAATTGAAGATCAATGTATAGTTGTTTACGTGTTGGAGGAAAAATAATATGACTTGTTCGATATAGAATAAGACAATGACTAGTTTATATATGACGAGTTATTAATACTTTTTGTTCTTTTCCCCAACTGTTCTTTTCCAATTCGTTCTTTACGTAATTACTAAATACATTATTATATTCCTATTAGCCCCTGACTGCACTTTAGTATATGCAAAATGAACCACGCATGAAAGGGTGTAACTTTGGGAGTCTAAAAGTTCTTTCAAGCAATATGATCCACCTTGGTTTTGTCGGGGGTGATTTTAACGTGCTCTTTTATCAGCCAAGAAAGATTCGGTGTTATTGATGATTTTTTGGAGTTTTAAGGTATTGTAACCTAGAAAATGCAGATTGTGAAGGCTCGAAATATTCTTGTACAAAAATTTGAATTATTACTTGATTTTTGAATAAACAATTTTTAAATCTATTTTTGAATTGGAATTTTTTTTTCCCACTTTTTTATGGTCAAAAGTCTTTTATTTCGATTTTATTATTACAAAAAAAATTGACAGAAAAAATATTTATTTTTTTATTAAATTATAACTCATAAATATTCTAATTTAACTTTTAATTCAGCCAACCTGAGAACGAGAAGTATGAAAACTGGGGGAAAAAGTACTTTTCTCCATAGTTCAAAGTTTGTATTCCATTGCGTTTGCTGTCATTGCCTCTTTTGTTGTGCTTATATTTCTATCATTTGTTAACTTTCTTGATCGATAAGGAAGAAAATTGCAATTATTATATTATAGGGTTATATTTCAAAAACATATCACAATTCAGGTCATAATTAAATTTTTTATATATGAAAATAGATAAAAATTGATTTATATAACATAAAAATGTGACAGCAATTGGTGATTATTAAAGAATAATTGATTTTTTTCATATTCCTTCCCTAAAAATCTGTTTACAAATACTATATTCCACATCTTAATGTATCCAAGAATATGGAAAAGCAGGAGGTTCTCTACATAATATCGAATATTCTAATTCTCGCGGTAGCTGGAATGCAATATTTATGTTGGAAGACAGAGGTCCATAGGGAGGAGAACAGCTGAATGTCCGACCCAAGTGTGTATAAGCTGTGATCGCATCCGGATTAACCCGGGTGGAGAACCAAGGGGATGGTCGCCACTCTTTAGGATTAGTCGGGCGAAGATTGGACACTCAAGTCATCAAAAAGAAAAAAAAAAAGAATAAGGAAAAAATAAGTCTCGACTCCATGAATTCAGAATTTCCTCCACATTTTTCTGGTCACAACTATCATTTTATATGTCACAATAGGTTACAACCATCATTCTGATATGTAGAAAGGTATTTGATGCTTAAGGAAGAATAATATTCCCTCCTTCCCATAAAGAAAAACCGACTTTCATTTTTTATTTGTCTCAAATTATATGTCAATTTTCTTGTTGAGAGTATATCTTAATTTTCTAATATGCTCTTATTTAATGTATTTGCTATTAACAAATATGAACTACTTATATTTAAATCATTAATTCAATATAGGGGTATGTTAGGAAAAATATTAGTAAAATTTATAATTCCAATTATATTAATTATATTTTCTTAATTTGTGTGAAAATGAAAGCAAGTTTATCTTTATTGGACGGGAAAGACCTATTCATTTCTAATGGAGTTCTGATTATGTCTACGTGTCTATAAGGTAAATGTTACGTAGTTCAATAAATTAAAATGTAGTTTAACTTTAATGAATAACATGACAGCGATCCACAAATGTATAGACTAAAGATAAGGTCCATTAGAGGTAAATGAATAGTATTACTCGTCCAAAATGTTGGGATTAATTAATCCGCGCAAATAATGTTGCTATCGATAATTTACTACCACGTCATTTTTTGAACAATCATGAAATGTTATTTTTAAGAAAGATTAGTAGTACTATTAAAATATTAATAATATTTAGATAATGATGTTCAGATACGAGAATTCGAAAATTTCAATAGATAAAAAAGAGTATAATTTAATATGACGTTATGTCACAACTTGGGAGGAGATTTCAGTGACGTTATGTCCCAACGTCGTATTGAAAAGTTTACGATATGCTTAATGAATGTAGGGTTTAATTAGTCCAAGCAAATAATCGAAAATTTAAGTGGGAATCAATTTTTTTAACGGTCATTAATGAAATGTTAAAATTTATTAGTGTGATGTTGACACAAATCACTTTTATTACAAAATTTAGTTTCAAAATATATTATTTGCTTTACACTTTCGGCAATGTAGGGTTACTGGATATACTTTTCTTGATGGATAGGTCAACACGTTAGTGGATATATAAATATTTTTTAATACAAGCTGAAGTTGCATAGAAATAACAAAGAAATTTCCATGACTCGAGCTGAATACAAAGTGCAGTCGCCGGAAGAGAGCTGAATGATTCAACAAAATGATTGACTCTAAAGTACCAATGCCATGGATAGGCGTATACGTTGCTGTAGTATCTCTAATATGGATTATTGCACTTATGGTTGATCTAATGCACTCTCTCCGCCATAAAAGGTTATGGTTCCCCTGCAGATATTCTGCTCTTAATGCTGCTTCCTTGACTGCTTTAGGCATCGCAGTGAAGTTTTCAATGGACCTAACTACCTTGATGCCAGGTACGTATGATCAAGCCGCTAAAAGACATAGCGCTCTTTTCTTGTGTTTTTCAACTGCTCATTTCATGCCTTCTTTGGGATCCATGAGTGATAGAGTTATAATTGTGAACTTGACAACAATGGGTTTCTTTATAGTGATGCTTGACGTAGATGTTATCATCCAAGTATTAACAGGCGTGATTGAAGATGATTTCCAAGCGGTGGTTGCCCTTGCGATTGTTTGTATGTTCTTTATATGTATTTCTTCTGCTTTAACAGTATCTACAAGAAAAAGGTATTTGGAACATAAGTATAACGAATTGCACACAAGAATTTCGGCGGAGGAACTACAAGGAGACGAAATAGGGGACTTCGACAAGTTGAAGTCGCGTGTGAAGAAGTACTGGGTGATGGCAGAAACTGGTGACCCTCAGTTTGTGTTGGCACGATCTGATGCCAGCTGTGTTTTATGTATGATCAATGTATATATTGGTATATTTGATGGATTTGAAACGTTTACAAACAATAAGCCAGAAATTGCTTCCGACTATAAATGGTCAGTGTATCTTGTTTATGGGACTCATTGTGTAGGCTCATTTCTTTGCTTGATCATGTCTATGGGAAGACTTGTAGTAGCTATGTTTTACATGTCACGGAATATTAGAAAATGTACCATCTCTAGAATTTCCTTAGAAATAAAGAATTACAGGATCAACAGATTGGTTGAGTGGAAAACGAGACTCCCACCATCACAAGTTCGATACCAGAAGCTTAGAAAAATTATTTATGAAATCAGAAATCTACTTCTCGACATTTGTATACGAACTCAGATAGTAATTGTGATCGTGAATAAATTATGTTGGGCATGCATACTTTATTTTGCTTACAAGGCAGTAGTCATGTTTCAACATCTTGATGAGGAACTAATTTTAAGCCTATCGTACGCGACAGTAATTGTTTATATGTTGATGGACGTTGTAATCAACAGATGGCTCAAGGCAATAAAGAAATTTTTCTTAAGGGAATCCGAGGTTTCAGTCAATCCCAATGAATCAGAACACGGGCTTGGTTACGAGAAAGATCTTACAAATTTTTTTTTACTTCTAGAAAGTGAGGCAGGAATAGAAGATTACCTGGTGTTCATTAACGCTTCTGTTAATTCATTCATAATGATGGGTGCAAAGGATCAGCCCAAATATCTAATGGGGCTTATGGAGAATTCCACCAGCTTTGATGGTGTATTAAAATTTGAAAGTGATCAAGTCTCTCCAATAATTTGCAAAGAACCTCATAATTGCTGGAGTCTATCCATGGCAACGCTAACAAGCATCATGATTGCTCTTCCAAACATTCAAAATGAGAAGAGGAATCAGTTGTTAAGAAGCGCCATTGAAGGTTTAAAGTATGTGCGCCTTATAGAGAAAAGTCTGGATGTTGATAAAAAATTGGTGAGCAGCACGACTGCTGCAGATTTTGCGTGGGTTTTAGTTGAAATGAGGCACAAGTGGTTAGACATGGACCTCCGAAAAGTTGCCAGGGTATCAAAATCCTCCAAAGAAACTCTCCAGAATCTTGCAAATAAAAGTGAAGAAATTTTGAAGGAATTCACGAGTAAAATGAATGGAAATGCAATGGAGAGCCCCATTAACTTGCCTGAAAACGTCATAATAGCTAATTCAATGTACAAAACAAGCAAAACTTTGCTTTTGGTCTATGACGAAAGCTATCATTCAGCATCAGATACTCAAGTGTTTGAGAGATTGTCTGTTATCATTGCAGATATTTTTGCAGCATGCCTGATCAATTTACCTCATGTTATACTCAAGAAATGCAACAATAGCCCTATAGAAGAACAGCTGCGAAGTATAGAGGAAGCAAGTTACATTTTGGGAGCAACTCAAGGCATTCTGAAAGCTCTTCAGAAGCGTGAAATTCCTAATCTATTACCTGATCAATCAATGTATATTGACGAATGGGGTACTTTACTAAAACAAACTAACGATTGTATTTCAGACCCAACTTCTAGCAGTGAGAATATTATCACTGCTTCAAGTGGTGAGGTGCATTTGAATATACAAGAACTTCGTGCAAGTGCTACAGCAGGTATGAATATACACTGGTTCTCTAGTTCCAATCAGATTTTGCCTCGAAATTTTTTATTAATATTCATGTTCCAATTATGAAGACATCAGTTTTTATTTAGGCTTTTATTGAATATACATTTCTCCAAGTAAAAATTTAGTAAACAAGTTCTTTTGTATCTCATTATAAATAACAAAAATAATGCATGAAGAAAATATTAGTATTTGTTGACTGGATAACTCATGATTATGAAGCTGCTAACAGAAAATCAATTCTATTTGTTGCTATTCTTTAGGCAATAAAGAAGTCAATGATTGTTAAGATTATAATCATTTTATCATGCTATTTTGATATGCTCAATCTGTAGCAGATTTTTCTGCATTTCAGTTTTCATTATGCTTAATTTTGGAGTTTTCAGAAGCCTTGGAAATTGATGAAGGTGATGCGGAGTCTCATGTGGGCGGGGAAATTGAAGAGTTAGAAGACGAGGAAGAGAACAACCAAGCATAAAACACTTTTTGGAAATTGTTGTTTATAACATCTTTTTTGTGTGTTTATTAGAGTTTGTTCTGATTTGTGAGTCATTCAGTGACATTGTGTAATCATGAAAACCTATTGGCGCCTAATGTTGGCATATTATTAGACATTATTATGCATTTTGTGAAGATTAAAAGTGCCGTGTAATATTGTTAGGTTGTTATAGGGGTTGGGCATGATCCGATTTGGTTCGATTCTAAAGAGAATCGAATCGAATCGAACCCGAATTTTCGGATATTTAATAAATGGAACCGTCGGATCCAATTTAATTATTGAACCGTTCTAGTTCGATTCCATTCAGTTCGGTTCGGTTCAATTCGATTTCATTATATTATAACAATGCTACATTAATTAGACTACAACATGTTAAATCTTAACTGTTGCAAAATAACGTAGCCCAATCTCATGATATTTTTTGCATATCTTTTTGTTGAGTTCTTCATAGATTTGACTATCAAAATCACAGGAAAATAAAGATGATATGTTCACAATAAATGAACGTCAGAAATGATACTACGGTAGAATAGAGATTTGAGTAAAACTTATATCAGTTTAATTAAGTTGGGTCGACTGTAAATTAGAAATAATAAAATCATATTTTGTGTTTGGGCTAAATTAATTAGTTAACAAATTGATTGAAAAAATAAAATTATTTAAATTATTTAAGATAAAAAAAAAAATAAGGGATTCAGTTCTTCTTCGACTCTTGGTCTAGAATTAAGAACAAAATCGAACCCGTTGATTCTCAATTCAGATATCCATTCGCACATTTAACTTAAGAAGAACTGCTCGTTTTAGTTCAGTTCGGATCCAATTCGGTCTGATTTAGTTAGATAATTTTGTCCAGCCCTAAGTTGTTATAATATGTTGATAAAAACAATAGATTATTCACTTATTGTTGGTACAGGTGTCAATTAGGGTAATCCGGGCCAGTTCGGCTCGCCAATTTATGAGCTCGGTAACGGCCCGCGTGAAAAAAGCCCGTCCGCTACTGGTTCTGGGTTGGCCCACAAATTTTGAATTACAATCCAAGCCCGCCTGCTGACTCATCCGGGTCTGGTTTGTTCCAATTTGACTCGTATGATTGTATAAATAAAATTGTAAAAATATAGAATTTTTCATATTT